TTCTATTGTTTGGAATAGTTTCAAAAGGAATGGTACCAGCTCCTCTTTATACCTCCTGTAGAATTCGGCTACAAATCCATCTGGTCCTGGGCTGTTGTTGTTGTTGTTGTTGTTGTTGTTGTTGTTGGTAGGCTATTAGATACTGGCTGTATTTCAGAACTTGTTATGGGTCTATTTAGGGATTCAGCTTCTTCTTGGTTTCATGGTGGGAGGGTGTATGTGTCCAGGAATTTATCCATTTCTTCTATATGTTCTAGTTTATTTGCATTGAGGTGTTATAGTATTCTCTGGTGGTAGTTTTTATTTCTTTGGGATCAGTGATGATGTCCCCTTTATCATTTTTTATTGTGTCTATTTGATTCTTCTCTCTTCTTTATTAGTCAAGCTAGTGGTCCATCTCTTTTGATAATCTTTTCAAAAAAATAACTCATGGATTCATTGATTTTTTGAAGGATTTTTCTTGTCTCTATCTCTTTCAGTTCTACTCTGTTCTTTATTGTTTCTTGTCTTCTGCTAGCTTTTGAATGTGTTTGCTCTTGCCTCTCTAGTTCTTTTAATTGTGATGTTAGGGGGTCAATTTTAGATCTTTCCAGCTTTCTGTTGTAGGAATTTAGTGCTGTAAGTTTCCCTCTTAACATTGCTTTAGCCGTGTCCCAGAGATTCTGGTACATTGTCTCATTGTTCTCATTGATTTCAAAAAACTTCATTATTTCTGCCTTAATTTCATTATTTACCCAGTAGTAATTCAGGAACAGGTTGTTCAATTTCCATGTAATTTTGTGGTTTTGAGTGAGTTTCTTAATCCTGAGATCTAATTTGTACATATACAAATTAGAGTACACCATGGAATACTATAGAGCCATATAAAAGAATGAGCTCATGTCCTTTGCAGGGACATGGATGAAACTGGAAGCCATCATTCTCAGCAAACTAACACAGGAACAGAAAACCACACCCTGCATGTTCTCCCTCATAAATGGGAGTTGAACAGTGAGAACACATGGACACAGGGAAGGAACCATCACACACCGTGGCTTGTCAGGGATTGGAGGGGAAGGGAAGGGAGAGGATTATGACAAATACCTAATGCATGTGGGACTTAAAAGCCAGATGACGGGTTAATAGGTGCAGCAAATCATCATGGCACATGTATACCTATGTGGCAATGTATACCTATGTGGCAATACATGGCACATGTATACCTATGTGCACGTTCTGCACATGTATCCCAGAACTTAAAGTAAAAATTTAAAAAAGGATATACATATCATATGCATAAAAAAGATACAAAATGCTTATGAACAGAAAGATTCTATATTGTAAATAAGTCATTTATATTTATTAAATAATGGTTGAATGAAATCCTACTCAAAATCCTATCAGGTAATTTGAAAATTGACAAGCTAATTTTAAATGTATTTGAAAATGTAAAAGACCAAGAAGAATCAAGAAAGTTCTGAAGAAGAGCAGAGCTCAAGAATGTATACCATCAGGTGTTTCCATCTTTATTACAATTAAAATAAGATGATATTAGCAGAAGGACATATAAATAAAGAAACCAGAAACAAATTCATATTTATACCATCCCCTGATTTATGACAAAGGTGAAACTGCAGTGTCGTGAGGCCACAATAATCTTTTCAATAAATGTTAGTAGATCACTTGGATATCATTATGGGGGAATAAAAGAATTTGACTCCTATCTTACATCATAAACAAAGGTCAGTATAGGTGGGTTATAAAGCTAAATGTGAAAGGTTAAAAAATTTTTTATAAAGCTGCTGTAACAGCCGGGAGCAGTGGCTCATGCCTGTAATCCCAGCACTTTGGGAGGCCAAGGCGGGCGGATCACGAGATCAGGAGATTGAGACCATCCTGGCTAACAAGGTGAAACCCCTACTCTACTAAAAATACAAAAACTTAGCTGGGCGTGGTGACAGGTGCCTATAGTCCCAGTTACTCGGGAGGCTGAGGCAGGAGAATTGCTTGGACTCGGGATGAGGAGGTTGCAGTGAGCCGAGATCATGCCAGTGCACCCCAGCCTGGATTACAAAGTGAGACTCCATCTCAAAAAACAAACAAACAAACAAACAAGCAACAACAAAAAACAAAGTTTCTATAGCATAAGAGAATATCTTTATGACACTGAGGTTGACAAAAATTTCTTGAGTAAGACTAAATAAGCATTAATTATACAGGAAAAGTCTGATAAACTGGACTACATTAAAATTAAGAACTTTGTGTTAAGAAAGTCACCATTAAGAGAAAGAAAAGGCAAGTTAAAGTGGGAGAAGATATCGGCAATGTTTATGTCCAATCAAAAACTTATATCCAAAATATATGAAAAACGCCATTAAATCAGTTACAGAATATATTCAAAGAGCCAATTAAGCATCAGAAAATGTCTTCATCAAGGGCATGCAACTTAAAGTGACAATGGGATACCATGACACACAGACCAGTCTGGTCAAAATAAAAAATACAGACAGTCAAGTGACTGCAAAGATATGGAGCAACTAGAACTGGCAAAGGTAAAATAGCACAACCACTTCAAAAAATTCTTAGGCAGCATTTGATGAAGTTAATATATACATATTTTGAGACCCAATTTCATACTTGTTATATACCCGACAGAAATGAATACAAGTGTGTACCAAAAGACATATAAGAATGTTCATAGCAGCAGCATTTGTCATAGTCAAGAGCTGGAAGCAACCCAGTTAGGCATCAGTGGTAGAATGGATGACTAAATTGTAGTGTATTCTTACAATAAAATACTATAGAGCAATGAAAATAAACAAACTATGGCTATGTTCAACAACATGGATAAATCTTACCAACAATGTTAGACAAATGAAGCCAAACCAAAAAATACACATATTCTATGAATCCATATACACAAAGTTCACAATAGGTGATAGTGGCTACTGTTTTGGGAAGTAGTGAGGAAAGGACTAAGAGAGTACTGCAGAGGGGGCTCTGTGTGTTTGTAATTTCTATTTCCCAGTGCAGGTGTGGTTTACATGAGCATGTTCACTTTGTGGAAATTCATTGAGCTGTAACTAAATATATGGAATTATTTATGAATGACATGATATATAATTCAATGGGAACTTGGGAGGATAGGGAGGAGGTGGGGGAGCTAAAGAGATGTGAGTGGCCAAATGCTTACAATTGTTATTGTTGGGTTATGTATACCTGGGAATTTGTTGTACTATTCTTGCCATTTTGTGTATGTTTGAAGTTTTCCATTATAAAAAGGACAAAAAAAGACAGAGAAAACTAAAAAAGAAAAAAAAAAAGTATTGTGCTTGTTACTAAAACCAATCTTAAGGCCAGTTACTAAAATGTAAACTCCTACAATTTTGAATAGCTATTTGCTAATACATTGATTTGCTGCATTCTTGGGATTAGCTTAGCCTGTCCATTCCTTTTTTAACTTGCTCCCTTCCTTCCCTTTTAATAAAGTCCTGCCTAAGCTCCAGGCTCTATTTTCCACCTCTCCCCTAAGATTAGGGATTGTTCCATTTTAAGTCAGTGGCCTTATCTCTCCCTGTTCTCCTAGTGTAACTCTTACCTTACCTAGCAGCAGGCCCTCTGTATTAGGGCAACCCATGATATTGTTTTTATGATTAATCTTCCCTTATCCACAAACTTAACTGTTGAGAAGCAGGAGAAAGTGTGTGCCCAGGAGCTGGATTCAGAGACCCATGGTTACCCAATTCTACTTATGATTCCATTCATTACACTGTTTTAGGAAAATAAACAGATCTTGATTTTTTCATAAGAGTTGATTCTTCAACAAGCAAATGGGAAAATTGGCAGGCCCAGATATGTGCGTATAGCTGCTATTGGTTGGAAATTTGAACACAAAAATCTTTATCTACCCAGCCTGTGAGCTACAAATCTAGACTGAGTATAAAAAAGAATAAAACTAAATACCACATGTTCTCACTTATAAGTGGAAACTAAACATTGAGTACACATGAACATATAGATGGGAACAATAGACACTGGGGAACAGGAGAAGAGAGGGAGAGAGAAAAGGGTTGAAAAACTACCAATTGTGTGCTATGCTCACTACCTGGATGATGGATTTATTTGTACTCCAGCCTTAACATTACACAATATATCTTTGTAACAAACTTGCACTTGTACCCCCAAATTTAAAATAAAAGTTGAAAAAAAAAGAATAAAAAGTGGTTGGCTATGTAACACAAAGATACTGTGGCTTGTCTTAAAAATAGGCTCTGACCCCTGAGGATAAAAATCAGACTTCTCCATGCGGGTCTAGTTGACATGATTAGACGACTCTACTAGAGTTCTGCCTTAGTGGTTGTCATATACATTGTCATAGACATCCTTGAAAAGAAAAAACAAGACAAGAGAGGAAAACTGAAGCTTCAAAATCCTTCCTGTATTTTCTAAACATCTCTCATTACATTGCTTGCATTCTTCCAACTGATAGATTCCAGAAGCTCATATAGTTACAAATAAGAACATGAGTAGTAAATATCCCCCCAAATTATTTCAGAACTCAGTCATTATAAATTGATTTTATATTCATATAGTTATCTTTTTATTGATCCATAATTCAAATTTAGCAAAAAATTAAATATGAATCATAAATGAACACTTGGAAAAAGGTTCAATGTTGGCATTTTATCAAAATAGGTTAATAATTTCTTATTCCTTTCTCATAAAAAACTGGATAAATAGAAATTTTAATCTTCATAAAAATGGAAATTCCAATGCAGATCAAGTATTTGGTTGTTTGGTTTGTTGAAAGCTTGACTTTGTTCACTTCATTTAGACAGACTATAAGATGAAAAACTTTAACACTAGAAACAAAATTTGGCATTAGAATCACAGAGAACAGGATTTTGAAATGCCTCTGTAAGTTTATAGATGTTCCTAAAGTTCCATGTTTAATATTTTGAATAAAATAGGTGGCCATGCTCAGGATCTAGGAAGTTAATAGTAGCCTCTTTCTTTTTCAGATACGTGTTGACCAGTGGTCATGCCACTGCCTATCTATTTGTTGAAAATATTGTTTACACAGTAAGTTTATCTCTGTTTGCTGAGCCATTCTTAAGTAGCTCATGTGTGACTTGTACTTCTTTCTCTAAACCCTGTATATACGACCTCCCTTGTTATTATTCCTTATTTTAACTCCTCCAAATATATTTGATAGATCCTTTAAAGGCCTGAATGGTTATGAAATACAAAGGCAAAGTTTCTTGACAGGTGATTAGCAGATTTCTCCATTCTTCAAATGACCATTTCACATCTACCTGAGCAACACTCAGAATGGTGGTGTTTCTCAAATCATCCAAGGTAACAGAAAGTCTTTCTCTACTATTTTTGAGAAGGCCCATCACTAGATTGAAAGCTCTTCTGGAAGTGACTCTGCCTGTATGTTCCCTACAAACAACCCCTAGAGAGTTAGCTGCTGAGATGGCTATATTTTCAAACTCGAGCTGACTTGGAGAAAGCAGATCTGGAGTGGAGACATGGAATTTCTCATGGAAAGTGAAAATAACTCACTGAAAATCATGTTTTTTCAAACTCTTCTGTCTTTCCACAGTATGTTCTTGTTACTGATTTTCAGAAAGCTGGTTTTGAGACTACAGCTTGGATTAAAGTAAGTTTTGTCTAGAATTGTTTCTCTATTCAGTATAGACATTTTCATGCCATGATTTATTTCTAAGCCTAGGGGAAACAATAAACAACATCTGGTTATCTTATTTCAAATTTGATATGTATAAATTGTGGATTGATCTTTATTGGAGCAAATTTGCAATCCAAATTCTCTTGGTGATTTATTTGCTTGGCACCTAATACACCTCTAAGCTTACAACAGTCATCTCATTTCAAATGTAAAGCCCCATTTTAAAAACAAAAACCATATACACACCCAAATATATAGAAAATAAAGAAAGACTAAAAAAATTTAATTTCCATAATTTTATCAAGAGACAGTCACTACTAATGCTTTGCTGGGGATCCTTCCAGACATTGTTCTATGTCTGTGTGTGTGTGTATTTTTAAATAAGATGATGCATTACAGAACACAAGGCTTTATTATTAAAAAAAGATTAGACACAATTTCTATGCCTTAAAATATAATTTAACACAATTATTGTTTATGATTATAGATTATTAAGTTTTATAGATGTTCCATCATTTATTTCAGCAGTCTCCTATTTTAGACATTTTCATTATTTCCAGCATTTAAAGATTATATCTAAATCTTTATTTTTGTCTCTCATGAAGTATCATGACCTGCCTGATGTTTAAATGCTCTGCTAAAAAAAATGAGTATGAGGTGATAAGTCAATGTGGAATAGGTAATCTCCTACGATAGCAGTCCCCAACTTTTTTGGCATCAGGGACTGGTTTCATGGAAGATAATTATTCCATGGACAAGAGGACTTCCATGAGTCTCCTAGGAGCTGGTTTCAGGATGCTTCAAGAACGTTACATTTATTAGGTACTTTATTTCTTTTATATGTTACATTGTAATATATAAGAAAATAATTATATACCATAATACAGAATCAGTGGGAATCCTGAGCTTGTTTTCCTGCAACTAGATAGTCCCATCTGGGGGTGATGGGAGACAGTGAGAGATCATCAGGCATTAAATTTTCAGAAAGAACATGCAACCTAGGTCCTTTGCATGCACAGTTCTCAATAGGGTTCATGCTTCTATGAGAATCTAGTGCCCCTGCTGATCTGACAGAAGGCAGAACTTCAGGTGGGAATGCCAGTGATAGGGAATGGCTATAAATACAGATGTAGCTTTGCTTGCGCACCTGTTGTGCACTTCCTGCTGTGCAGCCTGGTTCCTAACAGGCCATGGTCTGCTACCAGTCCATGGCCTGTGTTGTGGGTTGGGGCCCACCGCCCTAAGAGACAGTGGCAATTAATCCAGGTTAAATGTGATGATGTCTTTAGCCTAGGATGTTAGAGGAGGAGGCAGTGAGAAGTGGTCAGAGCCTGGATTTATTTTATCTTTTTAAAAGCTAACAGAACTTGCATATAGATTAGATTGTGTGTTGTGGAAGAAAGAAAGAAGTCAAGGATCATCATATTAAGAGGACAAAGGAGGAAAAATTAACAACTCAGTAGATGCTTAAAGAAACACTGTTAAGAGGCAATATCCATTTCAGATTTAAAAAAAAAAATTCTTTGCAAATTGAACAGAACAATTGAAGTCCCAAAATGATCAATAAAAACATCTTACTGATTTTGTCCATTCAGCCACTCTCTTACCAGATTAATGAATCCTTGTTGTATACAGCCTTAGGTTGGAGCAAACACTTGCCAGGAATTGAGAGGGGCCCGCGTCACTATGGTATAAATCTTAAGAGAAAGGCCAGCCATGACAGCAAAAGCATGTTCATCTTCAGAGTACTTTGGGGACACTCATAACTTCAAGTCATTGTTAAAAATTCTGAGACAAGGGAATTAGGAAGATTGACCTCCCCAGTAAGCTATGAGTCATGAGAATCTTTCCATAAGGAGAGCTAGCTAGGATGCAGGCATTCTGTGGCAGGTGGAGTTCGGGTGAATCTGCCAGTCCAGCCGAGAAGCCTTGTCTAAGTGACTGTTTTCCTCTGCAGTTCAGTCATCTGACTGTCTGGGGAAGAACACTGACTGGTGTGGTGTTCTTTGGCATCTACTTAACCATCTGGTCCCCCATTCTTATTGCACTAAATATGAGAGGACAGGTAAGTATGCCAGATGGGAAGTTTGCCTTCTGTGTCTTGTGATAACAATGTTTCTCCATGTGTAGGCAAGCAGGCTCTCTGTGTTTTGCAACTGTATTGAGGTTCAGTAGAGGCTGGTGCTACCTGTTTCTATCAGGATCTATCAGGACGTAAACCAAATTAAAGAATCTGGAAGATGTCATCCAGTCCACAGAAATGGCATTTTAAATTTAAAGTATTATAAAAAGTCAACCTAAACCCCCTTACTTACCTGGCATGTCCACATTTTCATAATAAATTATGTGTTAATTGCACATCATACTGATATGTACACTTTATGGCCCTTTGGAAACTGGAGCTATTTTGAGTTGTTCATAATCCAGTGATTATATTGGTTACAGTTTTGATGTTGTACTCTGATTAGTAGTTATCCTCTGTTGAGTCATCTGTGGAAGTTAAATCTAACAGCTCTATGAACCAGTATCTCTTTGAACTAGAGAGGCTGAGATTAAAGGTCTTTATACGCATTTGAATGTCTTTTTATTTTTTTCTTTTATACTACCTTTTTCTAGTGCATGAGATTGAGCCATCAACTGTGACAAACTGGATCATGGAATCTCACAGTATCAAGTTTGGATAGAAAGGAGCCTGGCAGTCTTGTGGTCCACACCTCCTCAGTTTACCAAGGAAGCTGTGCAAGCACAGGTCTCCAGGTTCATCCCAGAGACCCCACCCTGGGGTTGCCCACAGCAGTCCTGTCCTTAGACCCCCAAAACAGGCTGCTGGGCCCTATGTTTTAGGGACCTCTGCACTGGCCCTCCTTCGCTGGGTGTATTTCTCTGCACAGAGTGAAAAGCTGTGATGCACACAGCCCCTTCTAGTGTGTTCTCTGGGCTCCCAGGAACCCAGGCCTCTTCCTCAAACAGCCAAATGCCCATTACCAAGGCCTGCTTGGGCCTCCTTCCAGATGCAGGCCAGATTGCACAACTCTAGGTCCGAGGGGCAACTGTTTGCAAGGGGTGTGCACTGAGTAGATTGATGTTTGCACTGGTGTTTCCACCCACGTTTAAAGGAGGATGTTCATGCTGGGGCACAGAACCCAGTGGAAAGGGAAGAACAGTGGGTCAGATTTTAATTGGTGTTTCCCACCCAGGAATACATATTTTAGGGGCAGGTCTGTGCATGGCACAGCTGTCTGCTATCTCTGCCTCACTTACTCTGCAGAAGTAAATGAAACCCCTGGGTTGACTGCAGTCTAGACTGTGTCCAGCAGCTGTTTTTTGTGAGGTAGCCCTGAGTAGTGTTGCTTGCCTTTTGACCTGGTGGCTCAATTGGCTAATATCCCAGGGTGCAGAGGACCTCCGCTGAGGGTGCTGAGTGGTATGGACCTGTCCTGCACGAGTGGGTGTGCTTGCCCTCTAATGCATTTTTGCTTTTTGTAAGAAAAGAGGACAAATGTCTAATGTGCTTTTCAGTTCTTTTCCAAATTCAGACAATAGAGGAAATTGAATAAACCCAGAAGATTGTTGTGTAGCAAAATGAGTATTTCCAACAAAGAAACTGTGTGTGTTTAAAGAAAGCAACTCTATTTTAAAGCAGTATGATTGAGCCCCACAAAACAAGTGTCGGCTATAAGACAACAATCTTTTGGTAAGGTACTGGGGCTTAGAATATCTGTTTTGTGCTCTCTTCCTTCTGGTTCAGGGTTGATCTGCTATGATAAATATTTTATTTGGGGAATTTTTTGGTACTGGACAATAAACAGGGCCACAGCTGATTGCCACAGACAATTTTCTAATTTAGAGGACAGTGACAGCTGACAGGATGGGTCACTTGGTTTGTGATTGGCAAACTAAGCCCATTTGTCGAGGTTTCTAGGTTGGTGAATGCTCAGAAATGAAGGATATTCTAGAAAAAACTGCTTTTTATAGGCCCAGCATGCTTCCGCTGCACAACTCTGCTATCAAAAAGACTTTTTTTTTTTTTTTTAGACAGAGTCTTTCTCTGTTGCCCAGACTAGAATACATTAGCAAGATCTCTCCTCACTGCAACCTCCACCTTCCAGGTTCTAAGCGATTCTCCTGCCTCAGCCTCTGGAGTAGCTGGGATTACAGGTGTGTACCACCACGCCTGGCTAATTTTGTATTTTTAGCAGAGATGGTGTTTCACCATATTGGCTAGGCTGGTCTCAAATTCCTGACATCAGGTGATCCACTGGCCTCAGCCTCCCAAAGTGCTAGGATTTCAGGTGTGAGCCACCATGCTTTTAAAATTACTATTTGAATAATGCTTCTGATGATTTTTTTTTTTTTCTTGAGAGTGAGTTTTGCTCTTGTTGCCCAGGCTGGAGTGCAATGGCGCAGTCTCGGCTCACTGCAACCTTTGCCTCCCAGGTTCAAATGATTCTTCTGCCTCAGCCTCCCAAGTAGCTGGGATTAGAGGCATGCATCACCACACTTGGCCAGCTTCTAGTGATTTTTATAAACCATTTTTTGTAGTTCATTAAACAGTAGGTTTTTGGCAAATAAACATGGTTATCTGATGCTCTACAATTAAACTGTGTAATAGCAAATGGTATTTTTCACCCAGAAGCCAGAGATTTGACACACAAAACATTTTCTCTATTCATAACTTTTTTTTGAGATAGAGTTTCATTCTTGTTGCCCAGGCTTCAGTGTAATGATGTGATCTCAGCTCACTGTAATCTCCACCTCCCAGGTTCAAGTGATTCTCCTGCCTCAGTCTCCTGTGTAGCTGGGATTAAAGGTGCCCACCACCATACCCAGCTAAGTTTTGTATTTTTAGTAGAGACGGGGTTTCACCATGTTGGCAAGGCAGTTCTCAAACTCCTGTCCTCAAGAGATCCACCCGCCTCAGCCTCCCACAGTGCTGGGATTACAGGCGTGAGACACTGTGCCTGGCCTATAACATCTTTAACCTTCAAAAAGATGCACTGTTTCTGCTGGGGGGTTCTTTTACTAATTTGATTAAAGAATTCTTTGTTTTGTCCATGATATTTGCAGTTTTTCTCATGGGGGAGAATGCAGGTTTTCTCTTGATGGTAAAGGAAAAGATAGACTGTAGAATTAGAATTCTTCTTCGCTATCAAAGAGTCTTTATCTTCTGTGAAGAATCTCATGATATGGTATGTGAAACCCAACCAGACAACACATTAGGAAGTTCCAGTTGAAGTTTCTGAAATCAAAGAAGCCATCTGCATCCTTCCTCTCTTGAAAGTATGCCACATTTATGGTATCTTAAAAGGAACCCTGTGTTTCCTTTGTCTCTTCTCAAGCTTATATCTATAGTAAGTTAAAAACTCAGATTGTATCTGTCCTGATTAATGCCAGTCAAACCCTCAGCTATGGAAAATATGTGATAATGTTTTTCTGTAGGGGACTATGTGTTTTTTCCCCCAGTAACATATCTGTGAGATTTAAGTTTCCCCGTAATGGGTCCCCAAGGCAAATACTTAAAGGTAGAATATGACTAAATTCTTTTTAGCTCACTGCCTCCCCCAAAGTTGCCTACTGATAGAGAGTTGGAGAGATGAGGAAATCTTGATCCAAAATTAGATTAGGAAATGTGTTTATATTTTCTGCATGCTTTTCTCAATGCTTTTGACTTTAGTAGTGGTAGAGGGAACGCCATGTTACTTGACCTCTGTACAAAAGTCAGGAGGCTTGGCAGGGTTTACGCCCCAGGCAGTTAACCTTTTGCAAATCCCTTTACCTGCATTAATCTCCCAATCAGCAAAGTCAGAATAATACCACTCACCCTAATTACCTGAGAGGATTCTGGAAAATATATAACAACCTGTGGAAAATCTAAAACACGCATGCTCTTCTTTTTCCTGGAGTGATGAATTTTTAAACCTTCATGAATAGAAAGATTGCTGTGATTTAAACTCCAAATTCTTTTGGCTACATAGTTTTAACATTTTATAGGTTCTAAATTGGATGTTTCTCAGCAATCAATGTTTCTCCATTGATTACCTGCATTCAAATCATCTGGATTGCTTGTTAAAATGACAACCCCTCCACCTGCAGGCAATCTCTCTCTCTCTCTCTCTCTCTCTCTCTCTCTCTCTCTCTCTCTCTCTCTCTCTCTCTCTCTCACACACACACACACACACACACACACACACACACACACACACAGAGTGAATTTGGAACCTCTGGGTGTGGCACACCAGCACCTAAATTGTAATAAATCTTCAGGTCATTCTTTCCTTTAAACTTTGAGAACCACTGCCCCAAAACCCCTAAAGACTCCATTAGAATGTTTTAGCTGTCATCGGGTGTTACAGGAGAAGATGATACACTGAAGATACAGCTGAGAATGTCAGTGGAGGAGAGATTTGAAGTGAGAATCTGCCTAAGGTCAGGAGAACACTTGTTTTCAGGTTAAGTTCTGTGGTGTGGGGCCATGTTCGCTTGCCTTAGCATCCATTCTTCTTCACCCTTTCCTAATTATTCCCATATGTGCTGTGACTTTCTCCCTTATTCCTGGGGAAAACTTAATCCCATGCCTTCTGTAGTGATTGATTCATGAAGCCAAGAGACATGGGGACACATTTGTCAGGGGCTTCTGGGATAGCAGCAAGTGTGCTCCTAAAAGAATCCATCAAAGAGACAGCTTTCTCCTCTGAATGCTGTGGTTGCTACTGTGATGCTGGGAATGGTTCAGCCAAAGGAGGAAAACCACCCTCAAAATCCTACTGCTGGCATGAAAGATAGACTAGAAGACAAAAAGCAAACAAAACCAAAAGTCTTTTTTATTGCTTTATTATTTGACAACAAAACCTAAAAGTCTCTGTGTGATTGTTGACACCCTGTATAAAGCCAGCTTCAAAGCCCAACCCAAATGGGGCACTCAGAGAGTGTCTGCTGTGTGTGACTTGGCATTTTGGGCAGCTCTTGCCAAGGAAGTTTCTCTCCACCCAAGTGAGGCTGTCAAGGTGTTTCCTTAGCTTCACAAGCACGTGGTCAGTCAAGGAAGTAAATGCTTTTTAAAAACAAAATCTTTACTATAGCATATTTAACTGTTTTACTACACCTAAAGTTGCAGATTGGTTTACAAACCTTGTAAAGAATTATTTAGTGTTGCGATTATTAGTTTTTTAGGCAGTAACATCCTGGAAAATGTCTAACGGGCATGTCTTAAGCTTATTGGAATTAATCTCAAATACAACATTGAATAGACTCAGTCCAGTTTTCTTCAAGTATCATATTTCAGAAACCCGAGGCCTGTCTGGTGAGGAGCAGTCAGCCTCATCAAGGAGGAAGTCCCATCAGTAGAGGCTTGCCTTTCTGTTTGAAATAACATTGTGGCATATTTTTGTACAGTTTTCTTGAATATTGAAGTTGGCTGAATTATTTGTTGAAGTCTAATTTCCATTCTGACTTTTAAACTTGTATATTTTGTGGAACAGTAAGACTCACTTACAAGAAGTAACATGCTGTGTTTCTGGATGACATTCTTATCTGAATACAAAGCATGATGAGATGAGCAAAGTTAACATGGCAAGATTTCCTGGTTTCTCCCATACCTGTGACTATTGTCACCTGCACCCTGGGGTCCCCCATTCATGTATATTTCTCTTCTTGAAGCCTCCTGACATCAATCCCTGTCTGAGGCAATTTCTAGAACAAAAAAAATGAAAACTATAACAAAAAGCCCTCTTCACTGATAATAAAAAAGAGTCAAAAACATGGACTTGACCAGTGCTAGCGAGGTACGTTCTCATAGCCTATAAATATTTGGGATCTAAAATCAGAAAACTCAGGCGTCCATCAGACAACAATTTTGTCACAGAATTGCTTGTCATTGTTACCTGTAATACCAACTTGTTTTTGGTTTTCTTTTCCTAATTAACAAATGAAAAATAAAGTAGATTTACCAATTTGGAAAAACAAATGTACAGTAATCACATAATGCAACAATTTCACTCCTGGATATAAATCTAAGAGAAATAAAAATATATGTTCACACAAAAACTTGTGCATGAATCTTGATAGCAGCATTATTCATGATGACCAATAAGTAGAAACAATTCAAATGTATCTGAACTGATGAATGGATAAACATGGACTATTATTCAGCTATAAAAGGAAACGCATACTGATACAGGCTGACAAGAAGAAACTTTGAAAATATTGCCCTAGGAGGAAAAAAAAAAAGCTAGTCACAAGCCATCACATTTTTAAAAGATCCAGATTAGGCAAATCTATAGTGACAGAAAATAAATCAGTGATTGCCTATGAAGACACAGGGACATGGGGGAAGTAGAAGGTAGTGGCTAAGAGCTGAGGATTTCTCTACAGCATAATGAAACGTTGTAAATGTGATTGTAGTGATGGATGCATAGCTCTGTGAGTATTCCAAAAACCACTGGATTTCTCTCTCTCTCTCTTTCTCTCTCTCTCTCTCTTTCTCTCTCTCTCTTTTGAGACAAGGTCTTCTTCTGTTACCTAGGTTGAAGTGCAGTGGCACCATCTCAGCTCACTGCAATCTATGCATCCTAGGCTCAGGCAATCCTCTGGCTTCAGGCCCCCAAATAGCTGGGACTACAGACATGAGCCCCCATACTTGGCTAATTTTTGTATGTTTCTAAAGATGGGGTTTTGCCATTTTGCCCAGACTAGTCTCCAACTCCTGAGCTCAAGCAATCAGCCTCCCAAAGTGCTAGCATTACAGGCGTTAGCCACTGTGTCCTGCCTGAATTGCCTATTTTGATAGATAAATTGTATGGTATGTGAATTATACTGCAATAAAATTGTTACTAGAAAATGAAAATGGGGACTGGGCACAGATTGCTCATGGTTGCCTATAATCCCAGCACATTGGGAAACTGAGGCAGAAAGATCACTTGAGGCCAGGAGTTTGACACCATCCTGGGAAATATGGCAACATAACATAAACATCTCCACAACAACAACAACAACAAATAGCTGGGCATGGTGGCAAACGTCTGTGGTCTCA